GTCTGTATTTTCAACTGCTTCGAATAATTCGAAGATGATTGATTGGACATTTTCGCCGAGGAAAAATCGTCTCCGAATGGAATCTGCCATCAAAAACTTTTCCGGTTCTGAAACGCCCTGTATACACATATAGATTTGTGTAAAAAAAAAAGGGGGTCGATAAATGCGGCGTTAATATTGATACCGGTTGCGACGTTTCACCTCGATTGGTGCTCTTCGCTTATTCTCGCCATCGTAGAACGGATGTTTACGGTTTCTCTCCCACGCTAAAGGGTTGATACGACCGGCGGAGAGGGAGGCGGAAGGGGAGGGATGACGCGACCGGTCGGGTTCGATGTTTACGCGCGTCCGGAATAATCAAGGGCGAGGCTCGACGCTGGTAACGAGGGTGTCGCAAAACCGCAAACGTCATCCCCCCAGAATTCCTCGCGCAGGGAGAGGGATGTCTCGTCCTCTGTTCTCGCTCCGCGATCCGTTAATCGTCACCCGGGAAACGGGGTCGTCTGGAAAAGTATATACCCGGCTTCGAACCCGGAAGTGTATGGCTGGGCGGTCCATTACGACCGCGACGAAATAAACCAGTCGGTTAATCCTCGTGTATTTCCCGTAATAGTCGTCGTAAAAACCTCTTCTCAGTACGTTTCCCGAAATCGGTGTTTGGTGACCTACATTGGTAAAGTTATTTTTTTTTTTTGCAATTTTCAAAGTTTATCTTAAATATTCTCGCTATCGCGCTCTCCGATTTGAATTAAAACTCGAAAACAAACTTTTATTATCATTCATCTCCATTGTGCTTTTTTTTAATTTTTGTAATATTTTTTATTATATATATATATATATATATATTTTGTAGTTTGATGAAAAATTTAATCAATTATCAAAACAACGTAAAATGTGGAATATAAAATATTTACTTGCTAAATAAATCATGAATATGATTGATAAAACGATAATAAAGTCTCTTGATGAGAGTTCTCTCGTCTTTACATTTTAGCGAGTACAAAAAACCGCGATTTTTTTTGTGCAAGCTACTTCTGACAATTACTCTGCTTACCTAGGGGAAGATAAACATCGAGTTTGGCCGACGGCTACATTTTGAAACAATCGTCCCGTAAGAGAGTCTAATGTCTCGACAAGCAGTTTTGAGAACAAATCACTTTGAACTTTGCGACGAAGATCGAGCGATCTCGCGTCGTCGATCTCCTTCGTGAATTATATAAACCATTCTGTCCCTTTCTCCTTTCCTTCGAGGCGATTCCAAGGGGACATTATCGGAAACCCATTAATTAGCATTCAAGGTTCGTTGCGTGCAAGGTCGTTTTGCCAAAGGAATACGGTCGAGGGCGAAGGTCGTCGGAGAAGAGCCATCCCCTTCGTCGCTACGGATACTTTCGAATCTTCTTCTTTCGCCCCCGAGTACTTAATTAACCCCATTGTAATTAATGACGCATCGCTCTCCTAATCCCTCCTCGTCGATAACTTTATATTTTCAGAAACGCGCGAGCGCAATAATCTTCATTGATTAATGTTTAAGGTTTGTAAATTGCGAGCGTAAAATAAATTTTCGGAAAATATAGTTGGATGAAAAACCGCGCGATTGAATTATGAAATGTTGATAAAATTTAAAAAAATTTTTTGAACGAGATATATACATTCATTACTTTCGATTCATAACTTAGATTCATCATGGATCATCCTATATAAATATGAATATTTGCAGAGCACATTATCCGATTACATCGAGCAACTCCTCAAACACACGAATCTTTGATTAACCTCGCATACCAAGTTTTACGCTTTTGCTATCCGACTTTGCTCGTAAAACGGCGTTAATAGGACGTTCCGCGACGTTTAATGACATCATTAACTCCTAATGAACACTTTCGCAAACTTTGACGGCATTACGCTCTATCATTGTTAATCCTTCGAGGATCCGACGCCGATGTAAATTATCGGTTTCCAGCTTGCCTGTGTCTCGCCATCGAATTGGCGTTAAAGGATTACATACAAATCGATTATGACAAATGTGTAACGTAAATTCGACAATTTATCTCTTAACGGAGGGTCGAAGGAAAATGTTCAAGGGTGAAATTTGATTCGCGAGAAACGAGCAATTTCTAGTTCTCCCGCAAATATATACACGGTGTAATAAAATTAAGTTTATTACGAATGTAAGATCTCGAGAAGGGTCTCGCGTCATCCGAGACTTCAAAGGAAGTTCAAAGGGTTGGTTACATTTCCCTTGTCTCCCACAAGAGGACACGTGGCGCGTCATGCCGGGGGACATTGACGGGATTCGATATATTCAGTGACAAATTCGCGTATCCCGCGGCGTGACGCACGGAGAAACATCCCCTGATTGGCTGCCGCCGAGGGCTGTTTCCACGGAGGCGTGAAACAATATCGCGACGACGAGGACAAAAGGAGAGAGCGAACATTCGTCTTAATTTTCCAGTTGGTAACACGCACGTTGGCTGCCTCTTTTTCCCTCTCCCACCCCCATCTTGGTGTAATATCCAATTCTCGGGAGGGTTGCGGAAACAAGAATCGTCGACTCCGAGGCGGTTCCGGATGCGCGAATTTCGGCAAGTGGCTCTCGGGAAGTTTAGTTATATACTGGAAGAGAAATCAACCCTTATATTCGTTCCAATTTTTCTTCCTTTTTCTACACACTCGATATTGACATCCGATTCTTCTCTCGAATAGAAATTAATATTGTCATGTAAATGTTAAAATGTCTGAACAATTCAATATCTCTTACACCGAGTAAAAACTTGCGGTATTTACCCGCCCGAAAACGAGAGTTTCCTGAAAGCACGCATCTACTTATACTTTTTTTACGACACATACGGCTTGACAATTGGACGACGGAACGTTGCGGCAGTTTTTTTTCTTTTCGGAGCGGGTATATCTCTCAAAAGAAGATAAACGCGACGTAACTCTCGACGCAAACTCTCGGATAACGACTGCAGTCGCGCGAGAGCGAGGAGTCGGAAAACTGCGGCGAAAGAAAGAGAGAGAGAGGAGAGAGAGAGATAGAGATCCTTGGAGTACTCTGCCTAACATATATCCATGCGATATAGCACTCGTAGTCGGCGACTACGAGCGTGCCCCGATCTCGCTGCTTGAACTTCCACATCATCCCCTTCTCTCCCTCAACCCTCTTCCGCGCAAACCGCCGATATTACTATGAGAACGGCGGCCCGAGAGCGCTAAATTATTCAGGAACGACGCGATTCCCGCGCTTGTCGACGACGTCCCGCGTTCACGAGATTACCCGAAGCTTTCACGGCCGACGCGAGCCGTCTCTTAAGGGCTTTCTACGAATCCTCGCCGCTTGAACGAGGGTGATGATGATAATGATGATACGCGTCGAACGGTGAATAGATATAAAATAAAAATCTTTCGTCAATGGTAAAAGTCGACCCCAAACTGGCAATCATTTATTATAGATAATTAGTTAAAATACAACGTTTCGGTTGTCATTGCAGCCCTTTTCAAGTAAATCAAACGTAAATGCAAATTAAATTAACACAGTAAATCAAATTCACTGCATACCTCCAACAACATTCACCATTGTTTTAATGAACAATGTAAAATTGACGGAAGTAAGCAAGAAATAAATAGATGTTAACAGTTAGCAAGAATCTTAGTCACTACGCGTTAAAAAAATCGAGACAAAACTGCGTATATATAGCATACCTAGCCAAATAATAAGAATTAAAATATAACGATAAAAGTAACAGCTAATTCATTACCGTTACTGTAAAAGTGTAACGACGTTACCATTCTCGTTACAGACAAAAAAATTACAACCATAAAAAACTCTAACGGCATTACAAGTAACGCGTTACTTCTCAACTCTGGTATATACATATTCAAATCAATAACAAAATAAAATTCTAAAAGCCAAATTGATTATTATTTTATTAATTTGCAGTGTCATGCCTTTCCTTATAATGCCTCTCTGTCGCGTCTGATCATAATTAATACAGTTTCAACTGTAAACAAAATTGCAAGACGTAGAAATAAATTTAATTTTAATTGAAAATTTTATTTTTATTGTTATATATCTGTGACTAAAGATAAATGAGCTTTAAATATCTTTCACGATACATCATTATCTTCACTTAAATAATGGCAATACATTTAAAGGATATTTGAATAATTAAAGAATGTTCTATATAAATCAAAAATAAAAAAATTAATAAACTTTTGATATAAATCTATAGTAAAATGGTGTTCGACAAAATATGCATATAACATTTTTCGATATTTACAGTCGAAAAAAAATCTTTTACGTGCGCACGATAAATTAACCAAAATATTTATGTTTGAAATATTGCTACATTTATAATTTGCAGATATATTCAGGTAAAAGCACATACTGGAAAAATTGAGGTATTCTGAATTTTGATGCTCCACATGTTAATCGACGAGCCTCTTTTCCATCGATCAGCGACGGCACGTGATATCTGAAGAAACAATGCAAAACTTTTTTATAAAGTTGTAAAGATTTTTAGAAGGTGTAAATATGAAAGTGGAATTTATTGTATATTTTTCAAAATATATCTCTTTAAACAGCGTATATGTAAAACGTACAATGTGATTTGCACTACTATTTCAATAAATTTTTCGATTTTCTGCAATTTAAATTTCAAAGCTGTCTATAATTATCTATAGTTGTCGGAGAAGGGAAAATTTAAAAGAAATATTTATAATGTTCGAATGCTTTAAAAGTGTGTCTTTCAAAAATTAAGTTGCACATATATTAAAATGTAAATCATATGAATCGTACGACAAATTGCAATCAAACGATGAAAAACATTATATCTTTGAAAATATGTGATTCATTATAGAATTAATTAAAAAATTGAACGTTTATAACGTATAGTTGTCGCTTTCGTCTTAAGTACAATTTGAAACTGATGCTGTCTGATCCATTCTGACGAAGACTTTTGATATTGTATCCACATTTGCAGTTTCTTATTCTGATAGAACAGATAATTATTGTTAATTAATCAAAAGAAACACAATCTTTTATACTGGTTCACTGCGAAGTAAATTTCATTATACATACGTACACAATATTTAAACGTAAACAATATTCAAAGTTTATTTGCGGATACGTCCGGAGAATAAGACATATAACATTGTACATAAAATACAGACCGGTAAAGTTCGTATTAGCAGAATCAAAACAATCATTCCCGCTATAACGTCCTAGTCAAATTATTGTCACAAGTGTCCTTTAACAATACGTATCTGTGCGAATTCTTGATTCAGAGAAGCAAAATCGAAACACATTTAGATAAAATCTACAAGTAAAAGAGGTGAAAAGGAAGATCAAGAGATATATACTAAGGAAAAAATAAACGGTTACGTACAAATAAAATACAGATTAAGGAGAACCCTGCCGAAAAGGTAACTTATGCGGAAATTATATTTGATATAATTTTGTCATTCTATTCAAAGTAATAATATCTTTTATACTTTTTGACTATAATTATAATGAAAATAGTAAAGTGAAAAATATGCTTCGATTAGGTGCTATCAAAATAATAATACATGGAATTATCACACGAAATAACAATAATCTGTGTAATATTTCGTAATTTTGGAAATTGACATTAAATTTTGCAGTAAAGTTTGTATAAAAATCAGAAGAAAGCTGATCAAAGAAAGAACTGTAAGTAGATTTCAAAAAATATTCTAAAATTATTAGAAAAAATAAGCAAGCAAGTAGATCAACGACATTTCTTTTATCTTATAAGTTTTAAATTTTTAGAAATATATCTGACATTGTCGTGTCTATGTGTGTGTCTGAATTTATACATACACACGCAAAAAGGAGAATATTGGGTACATCTACTGATTTGAAAGTGCACTTGTTTAATCACTATTACAATACATTTGTACATTGCGCACAAACATTCGGCTCTTATAGCCCGTTTATTTCTAAGTACATACAACACATTTAACTATTTAAAATAATAAAACTTAATTTTTCTTCATGCCCTCACTTATGTGCTTATACATTACTTCCTCTTAACAAATATAAAATTATAAATAAGTAAATAAGAACGTAGATATTTGAGAATCGCCAGACAGAATTTAAAAAACGTAAAAATCTTCTCTCGACCGTACTGGCAAATATTATTTATTCAATCACAACGTTTCGACCCTTCTTTGAGTCCTTATCAAGTGATTTGTAAAATTAAAAATAAAATTATAATTCTAAGATGTCAAGAACGAACATATTGGAGTCTCCAATAACTCGTCTAAGAGTCTTGACGTGTTGTCAAACCGACACTATGTTCGTTCTTGACATCTTAGAATTATAATTTTATTTTTAATTTTACAAATCACTTGATAAGGACTCAAAAAAGGGTCAAAACGTTGTGATTGAATAAATAATATTTGCCAGTACGGTCGAGAGAAGATTTTTACCTTTTATAAACAAGTAATTTTTATTCACTATATCGTGAACTCTTTTTCCTTACAATTATTTTACAAAAAATCTGCTTTAGCAATATATATATATATGTAACTGCTTTTACAGTATATTAATTAAGACTAATATTTTTATTAAATTAATTTTACGTGTAAAATATAAATATTATTTTTAGAAAGTTATTATAAATGTATAATAGTGAATGCAATATTTATCAAATAATGGAAAGTAAACGGTAAATTAAATCTTTCTAAAAAATATGAAATTTTATCTTGCACAATAAAATCTTTCTCTTTGTTCAGTTTTTAATAATAATTTTTATTTAATAATAACTGATAGATTACCGTAAATTAATATAATAAAAATTTGTAGCATAAAGATAGTTTGATAACACAAATGTGTGGTTAATTTTTATTCTTCAGATTAAGGAATCAGATTAAGCACGATTAAACAACCGAATCTCTTACATATATTGGAAACAATCAATTTTAACACATAAATACATTTCTCAAAATGCGTTCGTCGGATGAATTAGAAAGTGACCAGCAGAATAATGAAAATACAGAAGACGAATGTGCCGATTTTTATACTCAGACGGAAAAATCAAACAATAACAAGCAGAAAGACGATGAAACGGAGGACGAAGCTCCCGATTCTCCTATACAGACGAGCACCAGCAATAAAGGGGAGTACATTCAGAGGAAACGTAAGCTGAGCGAATCTAGTGCGAATCTGGAAGAGAATGTCGAACAATCCAGAATTGTAAGTGTCGCATCCGACGATGATACATGGGCTTGCGAAATCTGTAAACAAATTTTTGTTTACAGGTAAGCAGTGAACGTATATATCTACGTAAAGTCAATGAGGGGGATTTCGCTTGTCACATATGCACTAGAAGATTTCAAACAAATGCTAGCCTGAAGATACATCTGCGTCGCCATATGAACAATCGGATGTACCTTTGTGACAAGTGTGATAAAACATACACATCTAACGAATGTTTGAAAATACACATGAGAGAGATGCATGGGAACAATACCAGGTATCCATGCGAGATTTGTAATAAGACATTTCGCCGGAAAGAGAGGTTGAATAGCCACATGTTGACGCACACGGACTACAAGGCAATTTGTCCCAAATGTAACAAGACTTTCAAATATAGATCTACTATGCTTGCGCATTACAAGAATGCACATTCCACAAAGCCATATCTGCGCCAAAATTTTGAGGTAGATATTGAGGTTTCTAGTTATGGGTCTGCAAAGACCCGGGGGTTTTTGCCAGGATCAGGTCGAGTCGAGCGTACACTTGAACCTTACTCGACGGGAATAAGCGGTCCGCAATCATATATGTTTAATGATTCCGTACAGGAGTTCATGCAAAAAAAATATGATGAATCCCGCAAGTGTGAACTATGCGAGAAATATTTCAGCACGAAAGGTTCTTTAAAGACACACATCCGTACTGTGCATTCCACAGAAAAGCCACATTCGTGTCAGCATTGCGGCGCGAGCTTTAGACTAAAAGGAGAACTCGATAATCACAAACAATATTGCAAAGACTTGCAAACATCAACAAGTCGAAAAGCACACTTACGCGACTGTGAAGATAACAATGGTAAAAGTAAAGGTAAGGGTAAAGACGATGGAAACTCCGAGAAAATGTCTTACAAGTGTGAATGCGGCTGTAGCTTCAAGACTCAAAATCAGCTCGACAATCACCGTAGCTCATCTCCCTACGCTCCTTGCCATCCAGATAATACTGATTCCGATTGAATTTCGTATAATTAAAATATTTTTCAATGTCTGAAACTCAAAAATTATTGTTCTATTAATAATTTTCTATAGTTACATGATACAATTGAAATTAAATATGAATATATGTACACGAACATAATAGTTGCTTTTTATTTACTTAAAAACTCAGATAAATCTCACATCTGTCTTTTTTTACATTCACGTTCAAGAAAGACAGAAATGAGATTTATCTGAGTTTTGATGTAAATGCAAAGCAACTAATAATTCTAAATTATTAAACAAAAGGTTATGTGTAAAGTTTGTATAAGAAATTTTTACATTTATATTTTCAATTAGAACCTTCTCTCAAAAATTGTCTGCGAAATCGATGATGTTCGTAATACACATAATGACGTTTTTATGTACTAATAATATATGTATAACAAAATTATGACGGAAGGTTCAATGACAAAAGTTTATTAACAACTTGAAGAGTGTAGAGTGTGATTATAGAGACACGACATAAAATATGAAATCGTTGGACATGTGTGCTAGCAGTACAGCATCAATGAGAATTGATATTTTAATTAATATTCAAATTATATTTATTCATTTATATATTAATACTAACAATAAGTTCTTCTTTATTTCGTAGTTAGTTTGTGTTAGAAAAAAAATTATGCAAATCCAGGACATGCGATATTTCAACGCAAATTATTTCTTAATATTCACATATTTGCTAATAGATAATAAAATAATAATTATTGTATATATGAAACACAACATGAAAGAAACAATCTATTGCAGTAATGTACAAAAAATATAATAAAAATCTTTCCTCAATGGTAAAAGTCGACCAAACTGGCAATCATTTATTATAAATATTAGTTAAAATACAACGTTTCGGCTGTCATTGCAGCCCTTTTCAAGTAAATCTATAAAAAATTTTATAAAAATAATTATTTCATCGCAACAAATAATTATAAATTCATATACAAAAATATGTTACATATCAAACGTAAATGCATAATAAATTAATACAGTAAATCAAATTCACTGCATACCACCGACAATATTCACCATTGTTTTAATGAACAATGTAAAATTGACAGAAGTAAGCAAGAAATAAATAGATGTTAACAGTTAGCAAGAATCTTAGTCACTACGGTGAATAGATATGTTTCTCTAATTGTAGTTATTGAACAGAGTGTTTACCTGACAGATAAAAAAAAACTCGAATTTTGCCCTATTCTGTACGATAGAACTTGTTCTCTATAGAATACAATTTAAATAAGGCTTTATGATTACAATAATTGCGAGTATATCGGCAATTAAAAAATTGATCAAGTATTCGAAAAATTTTCCAAAATTATTAAGTACAGAAATTTATTATTTTAGAAATTAATTATTTTGCTTGTACGAGTTTTTAATCATTTGCAAAGTATACAAATCTTTTTCTTTTTCTTCATCTTTTATATACATGTATAAAAATTGTTTGAGAAATTTTGATTAATTTTGTAAGAATAACTGTACATTGCGCGGATAGCAATTGAAAGCTCCAGAGATTTTTATGATGTATTATCTCCGAGATTAAAAGAAAGCGCGACGAAAATAAATCGCAACCAATCGAAGATTCTCTCGTGGCGCGAATCCTCCGCCGAGTTCTTAACGCGAAACCTGCAAGATTGATTTCTCTTCCAGTAACGCTCCCTCGATCTCGAGGATCACTGATCATACTCGGGCCACGTCGACGTAGCGGCTTATTTATTGTAGATAATCCCGGAATTGAATTCGGCAGGGCGAGAAAGAGAAATCCTTCTTCCGTTTTCTCTAGCGCGTGAGATTTCGAGCGCCTCCTTTTTCAAGAGGATTAACGGGAGAAAAAGGAGACGAAGAATCGAGGAGAAGCAGTTCGATGATCGGGGAAAGAACCCTTTTTCACTTCTCAGACAACGAGAGACAACGAAAGCTTGTTTATACGACACTCTCGCTGCCCTCTTCTGTCTTTTCTTCCTCTTCACAGTATCGAGATATCTTTTCAAACAACTTTATCTAAATTTCTATCTCACTGTGTTTTAATTGCATAATTTCGAGTAATTTAATTTTAAACCGCTGTCTTGTATATTTTTTCTTAATTTGAGTAAATTTTTTAAATTAATATTTCCTTCTTTTACGGATAGATGATCATAAACATCTCTGGAACTTTCAATTGCTATCCGCGCAATATGTACAGTTACTTTTACAAAATTAATTAATGTTTTAAAAATTTCCACATAACTTTTAATGTATACCACAAAATATAAATGAAAATGGAAGAGAAAAAATTCAGATTTGCACACTTTGCATATTATTAAAAAAAATGCAAACAATAATATTTTTAAAATATTTCTAAAATATATTTCATAATTATTAATAAAAGTACATCGTATTTTTAACGCAAAGTAACGAAGAAACATGAACACTACAGAATGCACTCTACGGCTATTATCTCTTCATATTTCGATGGGAAAGCATACGTCATGCGTCTAAGCAAATTTTACGGCGGGATTTCACGTATTCACGATTATAGTACAAAGCTGAACGAAAAGACAACCATACGAAGTAAAACTTGTAGGAGACAATATCTATATAATCGACGTTTCGTTTCACTCTGTAATGGCAATTTACATTTCATTTATTTTTATTACGCGCTAAAGTCTCGTGCAGTTATGAGAAATACAAGGTAACAGAAGTTTGCTAACATATATATCTTAATAAAAAATTGACGATAGTAACTAGATAAATAACATTCAATAACGTGGAATAGAAAAATATGTTCGACCCGTTTATTAAAGATTATACAATATTTCAAATCGAAACTTTTCATCCTCTAAAACAAAATGCTACTAAATATATTGCTATTTTTCTATCGTGTTAAACGATATGACTCCTGCTCGAGTATGTACACATTCCAATATTTTTACGAGCAGCAACGAAAAATTATCGCTATGCAAATGCGGAGAGGAATAGAGAGAAAGAGAGAGAAAACATAGAGTGATGAATAAAATAACGCATGCGCCCGATAAATCTTTTATTACGATGATACAATTTATTGTTCGAGCTTTTCCGTCTTGCGCGATTTATTGCAGGAATTTATCGCAGAGATTCGAACTGTCCCGAAAATCGCTGCGATTTCAGGGAAGGGAGGAGAAAGGGGAAAGGCAATTCGGTGAGCTCGTCACTGTAAGCCTCTTAATTTCGCCCGGAAACAATCGAAAACCACCGATCGCCATCGAAACGTCGAACTCAATCATTTTCCTCGCCCCATCTCCGACGCAATAAAACCACCGAGAGGGACCAGTCACTCGCAGGGGGTGGCAGGGATTAACCGGAGTCGCACTTTTTTTTTTTTAATCCTCAGCCACATTTGATTTTTACGTTGCACTGTTGATCCTTATATTACTCCTCTAAAAAGGTATTTAATTTTGCACAAGATAAAAAATCAACGAGGAAAAAAATAATCTCGTGGCAATTTTCAATTTTTTTTTTTTCTGCACATATCGCCGATGTCGATCGATACAATTTAATTATTTTGTCGTACAGTTTCGAAGAAAGAGAACAATCTTCAATTAGAGCCTGATGACGCGCGGCAGATCGACATTCCGATAGTGTCCGAATATATCGACGCTCGAATGAGTTTCCCGCGGAGAACAAACGCTACGATAGAACTCGCGGTGTGTACATTCCAAATTTGATCGCCGAAAGTGGACCATTATTGGTATTACAACCGCGCGCTTCAATATTGTGCCGCCGCGATTAAATGTTTAACATCAAACGACAAATAAAATATTGAACGCCGTACCGCCTGACCGAATGAAAATATCCTGCGCTTAATCCCTTAGAGATATTTCCATGAACTCAAACAGCGCGCTGTCAATAAATAAATAAGGGCATATATAATATTATATACAATATATTGGGAAAGAGAATGTGTGGATCTTCCGATGAATTGTCGAATCAATCAAAAATTAATTTACATCCATTATATGTACTTTAATTGTTACAGCGTGTATAACTACAAATGGTAGTTATCGCGAGTCCAATAATGCAAAAACGATTAACCAATTAATATTGCAATAGATATATATATATATATAGGTATATCATTTTTATATAACAAATATATGTAATAAATTTGATTATAAAATTCAATTTAACATATAGGGTAAAGGTACCGATTATGAGATAGGTTCTAAATATGAGATAGCGTTTTAGTAACGACACCGTACATCTGAAATGTGTGACGTTTGCGTCATTTACTTCGTATGCCTACGTTCATATTTTTGACATTTTGATATAAGAGTTTAGGAAATAAGTCTAATAAATAATATAATTAAAGCTATATTTTTAAATTTTATTGTTGGTTCTAAAGATATAATATTGTAAAAGGTTTTAAATTAAGACAGGAAATAATAAAACCATTTACTTTTATCTATATGTCTTTTATTTTTGGTGTTAATAAAAATGAAACTAAGTTTATCTAATAAAAGGCGGTATCTCATATTAGGAGACCTTTTGGTTTTGATACAAAACTGACTTACTTTAATCAAACCTATGTATATTAAAACTCGAACGAGATATAACTTATTGAGGTAGGATTTCTAAAACTACATGAAATGACGATTAAAAACAGTATATAGATACTTTCCTAATTGCATATATTTTGGAAATAATTAAAAAATCACGTATGTACATTTATTCTTCTCAAATTAAAAAAAAAAAATACTAAATTAAGAATTTGTATCGCACACTACATCTATATGTATATAAGTATAAGTTAATGATGAACCGAAATCTTCCCCTGTCATTTCCCGAAATCAATCGCCGGCCGCAATACTTTCCCCCTGAATGCGTCGCGTCGCAGGGGTGGTTTCTCGCCGGCCTTCTGTCTCTCTTTGCTATAGATGACAGTCATGAACGCGACGGCAGTGGCGAGGGATGCACGCGTGCGTGGGTGTATTTAATGACATAAAGAGCAGCGTTCCGCACACGCTTTAATATCCGTCCGAGAGAACGATCGCCCCCTAGTGCTGCTGTCCCTCGTTCGCCTAA